AGAAAGGCGCGGGGGGGGGGGGGGGATAAAATAAAAGAAAAGGAGAACGGGGGAAGGTAAAAGAGTGGTGCCGGGGTGGTCGAAGGCATAACCTCACGGACACCGTGGGATTTCTTCAGGGATTCGCCACTCATTTATCCTTTTTTGTTTTTATTTTTGATGGTGTGGTTTTTTATTTTCTTTTTTTTTTCTTTTATTGGCCTTCTTGTACCTTTCACTCTTTTCCGACCACCGGCGGTCTTCCAAAAGTATATGTGTGGGATTGAGAAAGTAATTAATGAGGATTTTTTTGGTGGTAGGGAGGGGGGGGGATGTGGGAATAATTGGCGTGATAGAGTTTTTGAGGGTCTCAATTATTTTAAGGGAGGGGGAAGGGGGGGGGTGGGATTGAAATGAGGGAGAGTTTTCCGGAGAGAATTGAATTGTTTGAATATGGGTCTGGGGATAAAATGGGGCGAACGCAAAAAGTAGAATGAGAAATTTTGAAAAAAAAATTTGTCTTTCGTTTTTCTATGTTTTCCTGGAGATAATTCTCAGCGGAAACTTTATTCCGATTATTGTTTCGAACCCACGACCCTCGAATCCCTAGGCTGCACCTCTACCCATTTTTTTAAAACATTTGTTCAGCCCAATATTTTGACATTGTTAAGGGGGGACCCTGGTGAAATCTGAGTCTTCGGTTGATGAAAATAACTATCGAGCAACTTTTATATATCATGGAATACCTAAGAAATTGAACATTACGAGCATTTTCTATAAACAATCAACTTTCTGAGATGAAAATCATTTGTTCAGAATCGTAACAAATGTATTCTATTAAGAATTTAATCAGAAATCGATTTCATGCCTAAAAATAAGGTTTCCGAAACTTTAAACTATTCAAATTATTTATTTATTAACAACGAATGTCCAAAAAAAAAAATTCTATGCAAAATGTAATTTTAACGGCGCTGGATATTCATGAATTTTTTCAAAGGCCGTGACTATTCGCACCATTGCGTGAATCACTCCCGTACACTCCATACACTCCACACATGCGTGAAGTTTGTGTGTTTCACGCAGCCGAATTTTCATACTGCTGTGTATTTCACGCAGTTGAAGTTTCATACTACTGTGTGTTTCACGCAGTTGTATTTTTATACATCTGTGTGTTTCACGCAGTTGTATTTTTATACACCTGTGTGTTTCACGCAGTTGTATTTTTATACATCAGGATTGCGTTTTTCCACTTCCTAGGCCTTATACAAGATGAATTNTGAAACACAAACTTCACGCATCCGTGGAGTGTATGGAGTGTACGGGAGTGATTCACGCAATGGTGCGAATAGTCACGGCCTTTTTCAAAATTTTCTCACCCAATTTAATTAACAAATTTGATGATTGAAAATGGTTGAATCTATAGTGTGGTCTGTACCAAACTGTAAGATACTTGGATATCCTTAATAACATTGACATTCTTCACGTCAATGTAGATTAAGTGGTGTTAATGATCTGAATGGAGAATATGATAAGCGAAGTGTTGAGTTATTCAATTCAATAATAATATGAAACTTGTCTTGTTGAAATGAAATGCGTCTTAGACGTTTTTAGTATACGACAGAGACAAGAAATTGGCGAGTAAAACTGGTCGTGGGTATCTCCGCTCATTGGCTAACTCACGGAGGCAGCGGAAAATTCCGAATGAAGAGTTTCTCCTGATATTTCTCCTTAAAACCACACATCACCGCAATAATCTCATAATTGGAAAAAAGTCAAACCTCCCTAATTGCTCCTCTGAATTTTAATTTACTCTCATTTGCAGATAATTTTTTCTATCGTATATCAATTATCGTTTTATATTGTTTTGTTCAATTGAATTATATTTCTTCATCAATCAATTGTGTTAGATTTCTTGAGAAAAATCTTGTACACTGCGCGAAAAACAGCACACGGAGAGAAATCCTATTCTAAAAAGAACATACGCCGTAAGCTGTAGTGTAACGTTCATTCCTCGAATTTCATTGGTCGAACATTCGGATCCGCCCGCACGTGTTCGACTTGGGTCGGCTTTCGGTTTTCGTGTCACGATTTGTCTTTTAACACGCGCGCTCAAGCGCGCGATCGTTCTTGTGGAAAAAGTGAAAACTGAAAAAAAATTGTTTTCACCGGGGGGCAAAGTGTCAGATCTTGGATTTTTTCAGGGGGAAAGTCGGTCAAAGGGTCACGAGGGTCAGAGTGTCAAATCTTGGATTTTTACAGGGGGAAAGTCGACATTCGCCAAAATCGAATTTTTTACCCGGGTGAAGATTGATTCCAACTATTTAAGCGACGGGCTATTCAAAACTCTCAAAAGTATGTGGAAAAAGTGAAAACTGGAAAAGTTTTTTTTTCAGATTTTCAAAAGGCCAGATTTTCCGTTTTTCCAGAGGGAAAGTCGACTTTCGCCAAAATCGAATTTTTTAGCCGGGTGAACGTTAATTCCAACTATTTAAGCGACTGGCTATTCAGAACTCTCAAAA